CACCCCCCCACCCTAATTCTACCCCGCTACTGAGATGAGGCCCAGCTCCCAGATCCGAAGCGCCAGGGCCTACAGACTGTAGAACTTGAGGCTCCTGTCCATGCCCGTTGAAGCGATGAACTTGGCGTGGTGCCCAAAGGCCACCCCTGTGGTCAGGCCGCTATGCTCTGAGGAGAGAGACAAGAGGCAGTGGTGAGGCTTCTCCTCCTAAGAGCTGAGCGCTGATCCAGAGGACACGCTCTCAAATCCATCCAGTGCTCCCCGGGTCAGTGCTCACGTACTCCTTCCCCAGTCGCCTCTACACCCCCGAGGGCAGGGTGCTAGTCCAGCCTGCACACCACCTGTCCCTAGGGCCTTACCTGACGCCTGGCATAAAGCAAGCGCTCTTGAGTTTTTGTTTTGGGCTGAATTAACAGATGAATGTCAGCGCCCCCACCTGAGCTTTCGGGGCAACTGCAATTCTGCTCAGTTAAGTGCTAGAAGTGACTGGGAGCTGGCAGAGGGCACGACAGACCAAGCTGACATGGTCTCGTTCTTCCCCTTCTCACAACCTTAGTTTTACAGATTTAGCTGAGTTTTCACTTCAGTTTAAAACCTCACTGCTCAGCTGGCTGGTATATGTTTATACTTTGTAGTTAGCTCTAACTCCTTGCTTATCACTGAGACAGTTCCTTAGCATGTTCTAGTTCAGGGGGTTCCCACTTAGGGAACCCGGGCCCCCAACACAGAGCAGGACTGGGCCAAGGGCAGAAAAAGCTGGGTGACACGCCGCCCTGGATTCAGGTAGTTCACGAGCAGCAAAACAAACTCCTTCTAGGTTTAGGGTAACACCTGGCGCCCCGACTAGAGAGCCCAGGCTGGGCTGCCAGCCCGCTGCTCTACCTCACTCAACTCTAAAACCCCAGAGTCCAGCGAAGGGTCACGGCTAGGCCTGCACACCCCTGTAGCACACACACTGAGCAGGGCTCAGCGGAACGTGGGGGGCGGGAGGAGCATCCTGGGGCCCACCCACACCCTGCTGATGAGGGGGAGAATTTCATCAACAAGGACAGCAAGCAGCTGCCGTTCGCTCAGCTCCCCGGCGTGCAGCGGGCACTCTGCCATTGTGCGCGCCACTTCTGGGCTCCAGCTGGGACATCTGCAAAGCAGTGCCAGTGTGACCTTTAAAAAAGAAGCTGCAGCTCTCGGAGAGCAAGTCATGTACCCAGGGCCACACAACTATTAGAGGAGGTTCGCAGCCCTTCTATCCACTGTGCCCCCACTACTTTTCTTCTCCAGTATCCACAAGTGCAATCAAGTGATTGTGAACTAACTCCACTTCCGCTTTCCTGAGCGGACTGGGAATTCCGTTAGTGCAAGGCCTGGATCTCAGTCACGGCTCCATCCCACAGCAGACAAAGATGCAATGCTGAGCAACGGCAAATCCTTACTATGTGCCAGACACTGTTCTATGTACACACGTGTGTGTCATACACACAGCTACATCCTCTGTTTGTACGCATGTGTACACACATACACAGATAACTTCATATATACACAAACTCACCTAAACCTCACGACCAACCTGTGGAGTACGCACTGTTAGCATTCCCCAGAGAGACGGGGCAACTTGTCCAATGTCGCACAGCTTGAAGTGGACTTGAAGTGCTAGAACTGGCATTTAAAGCCCAGCAGTCTGACTTCTGAGTTCATTTTCTTAGCCACTCAACTCTGTTGTCTCAGGTAGTGATGAAAAGCTGCCTAGGCAAACTCACGCCCGCCCCTAGAAACTCCTAGCCCGGTGGTATCTGCCCTCTTCATTCTGGGCCAGGGCACCCAGGGGCCTCGGGGTCCCAGACCCTACCTGTGAAATGAAGAATCTCTGTCCACTGCTTGCAGATGTAGATCTGGACATCCGTGCCCCCGAGGGCCAGGTAGGTACCGCTCTGGTCAAAGATCAGTGACTTCACCTGCCAGAACCAGGAGAGAGGTCGCACGAGAACAGAAACTATGGGGCAGTCAGGGATAAACAGAAGTTAGATCAATTCGGTGAATAACCGACAAGTGAGGAGCCACAACCAACAGAGCGGGGGGGGGGGGAGCACACCTCAAAGTTGTTATCCAGCTGCAGCGTCTTGAAGTTTTTAAGCTTGCGCAGATCCCAGAGCTTGACAGAGGAGTCATCGGCCGCCGTAGCCAGGTAGTAGCCATTCTCCGAGAAGGCAATGCTAGTGATGGGGCCCGAGTGGCCGGGGAAGTTGGCCACGTTGGTGCGCTCCTATGATTGGAGGATGGGTAGCACATCACCCACTGATCACGAGAGGGAGAAGATGGAGTTCACCAAATGCCTACCTCTGAGCCATCCTGCTCCATCCTTCCGGGAAGGACCACTAGCAGGAACGGCAGAAGCAGATGGCCCACCCCAGCAACCCCGGACCACACCTATCATATCACACACACACACGGCCACAGTCTCTCCACCTTTGGGACACCCCCAGGGCCAGGTGCCATCACACCTCGTAGTCAAGAGCTCAGAACCTGGGCCTTAGATGGAGGCTGCCATGTCCTACCTTCAAGTCCCAGATCTTGATCTGTGAGTCCATGGTGCCTGTCCCAAAAATGAGCCCATCAGGGTGGAACTGCGCACAGGTGAGAGCTGTGGGAAAGGGAGATGGAGCTGTGGTCAGAGCCCACGGGAGAGACAAACACAGTGAAAGGTTCTTCGCTCTTCACACTGCTCACTATGCCCAGCACAATGCCTAGCACCTGGCAGGTGCTGGCGGCAAATGTTATTTTAAGAAGAAACGAGCAAATGACTAAATAAAACATAAATAAATGATAAGCAGCAAAAGACAGAGCCCAGCACCTCTGAAGCGACTTACAGCAGCCAGAGGTCTCATCTGTCACCTTGGTGAGCACACGCCCTGTCTGGATGTCAGAGAAGGCCCAGTACTGAAAAAACAGAGACAATGGAGCCAGTAAGAAAGTAGGTGCCCTTCAGGAAAGCAGGGACCCTATTTTGGCAAACTCTGGCAAAGCTAGCCCCTCTGAGCAGAGGCACATTCTCTGGGGTTCTGGGGAACCAGCTGGTGTTGGCAAGATGTTCCCTCCACCCAGGATGTTCAAGCTTGGAGACCAGCAGGCCTCTGCAGCGTCCAGGCTGGGACCACACCTGGTCGTCAGAGGAGCTCAGGAGATAGTCCCCAGTGGCATGCAGGCTGAGGCCTGTCACAGCGCTCTCATGGGCCCGAACAACCTGCACACAAGAGGCATTCGGGACCGACCAAATCCTGATAGTAGCATCTGGAGAGGCAGAAAACACCAGCTCCTGAAAGGAAAGCGGAAGAGATGGACCATAACAATCTTACAAAAGGGGGCTGGGGACGGCCATAACCCCAACAACTGCTACTCTTTCAGCCCTGTCCTGCCGAGAGCCATCCATCCACCCAATGATGCCTAAGAGAGCCAACGGTAAATGCTATTTAAAATGGTAAATCAAACAGCGATGGCCTAGACTAGAAGAAGCCTAACTATCTAGAGGTAAGAAGGACAGCTGTACCAGAGAACAATTTCCCACACCGTTTCTAGGGCCAGAGAGAGCAATGTGGCTAGTGCAACTGAGGAACTGAGGTTTTTTTTTTTGTTTTGTTTTAGTTTAGTTTACTTTGTTTAAATAGACACACATAGCTACTGGCTACTGACAGGGATAGCACAGGTCTGAGCAGCACTGGGTCTAGGAGGGGCTGCAAGGGCATGTTCCACGTTCCAGTACCTCCCTCACCTCACCTCTACAGGAGCAAGTTAATCCTCAAAAAAATTGGGGGCAGAGAGAACTTACATAGTGTCAGCCACCAATTATTTAGATTAGGACATTAAAAACTGTAAGGCAGAACCAACTACCCTAGTTCGTCAACACGATTTTATAAGAGACATAACATATTAACACCCAGTTGGCAAGAAAGGAGTGCTTTCCATCTGAAATACATTTAGTTTTAGGGCTCCTGGCTGGCTCAGTCGGGGGAGCATGTGACCCTTGATCTCGGGGTCAGGAGTTCAAGCCCCACGTTGGGCACAGAGATCACATAAATAAATAAAACTTAAAAAAAGTAAATGAAAAACCAACAAGTAAATATATTTAGTTCCATGAAAAATTCATGTTATTCATCTACTTCTCATTTCCTTAAGCGACAGGGAAAAGGCTGACTGTCTGGGAAGCAAAGACTCAACCACTCTCCTACAGTCTGAGGCCCAAACTGTCCCAGACCTCAAGACTCAAATCCTGTAAGGTCAGTAATCTGGTCTAATGAGCTGCCTTTGCCACCTACGCCAGCACCCATCTATTTAAGCCCACACCACTTTCAATAGTCAACATCAAATTCCCCACCCCCAACCCCATAGGACCATGGGAATGTGGACAAACCTGTCCTTCCCAGATATGCTGAGTCAAGATTTTGCTGAGCTTTGTTTTCCATAGTTTGTATTATAGATACTGTAGGCTTTTTCCTCTTCCTAACATAACGTATGACTATGAATATGCTTATTCAAGCTCTCCATTTCCTCTCTTCCCCTGCTCTGAAGGCCACTGCTCTAGGAGGTTCTACAGAGAACAGGGCAACCCCATTACCGCAAACAAAGGCCTAGTGCCCACTCTGGAGGCTCAGCGCTTCCTCGGGCCCAATTCACTTCAACGAGGACACAGCAGGGCACTGGATGACTGGGCTGCAACCCTAAGCCACTGCAACAGGCCTCAGGAATGAGAAACCCAGGGTGACTGGCAGAACCCTTTACCTGGGAAGGATGAAACACCACACTGGTGACTTTCTTGGTATGGCCTTTGAGGGTGGCCAGGATTTGCTCAGAACTCTTGTCGAAGACGACAACATTTTTATCCGCCCCACCTAGAGAGGACCCAGATGAGATCCAAAAATGAGTCACGCCCAGCTGGGTCCCTCTGCTGAAGAAGGTACTTTTGTCCCCAGGCCATGCAGAGGACAGGAGCATGCACCTTCCCCACCAGCCTCCCTGCCTTGGCCTGCTGGGCCTGGCTGGCTCTCACCAGTAAGGATCTTGTTGGTGTCGGCAGGACAGAGGTCCAGGGCGAGGATCCCAGGAATGCTGGCACTGTGCAAACCCTGAACAGAGGGCACAACATCAAACCCAGTCGTGGCCGAATGCAGGCCGGCCATAAAGCCACACAACTCCCCCATTCCATCCCCAGGCCCAGGGAACAAGAGCGACTTCTGTTTCTCATCCACTGCACTTGGCCTTCTGTCTGGACACAGCGCCGCCCTTGCGGCATTACTAGGAAAGCCAGCACCAGGCAAGAAGAGAAGCCCTGAGAGCTCTGCAGCCGGGGCAAGAAGCCCGGGCCGGGGCCGTGCACAGCTCTACAGCCACCGCTCCCCATGCTGGCCACCCGGCCCAGACACCGGCCCAGACACCACGGGGGGGCACCCTGCCTCCCAGTTATTGGGGACCAGGCCACTCACCACGTGGGATGCCACCTGCCGGTATTTGCTCAGCTCCTCCGGCTTCACCAGCTCCTCCGGCACCGTCTTCCCTCTCTGAGAAAAAGCAAAAGCCCCCCAACAAGAGCAGCAGTGAGTGCAGGATGCAGCGACCTCCCCCTCCCCCGAAGGCGGCAGCTGCCTCCACTGGCCAGCTCTCCCCTGGCTCCTCTGGCTCCGGGAGGACTCACCTTCTTACGCTCCGTGGTGAGCACAGTGGCCTTGTCTTGAAGCTGGGTGAGAGAGAGGAACAGGCGCAACATGAGAGAAGTTACTTTGCCAGGGCAGCGGCATACTGGATACTGGTCACATCTGCAAGTGTCATCTGCCAGGTTCTGTGCTAAGGCCTTACGGGCATTCCCTCTTCTTACTCTCACCCCAACCTGATGAGGTGGTGCTGACCTTACTTCACAGAGGAGGTCACTGAACCTCAGAGGAGTAAGGTCACTTCCCCGAGGCCTCAGCGGTGACAAATGGCAGAGTGAGCACCTGAACCAGCTCCCACACCAAGTCTACACCATCAAGAGAGCGGAGATGCAAGGTCAGCAGAGACAAGACACAAACAATTAACTCCTACACAAGGCGAGTTCTGTGAGCACAACAGGGTGCTGGCCCTGGAATCTGGCCCGCTCTGCCTTTGAATCTTAGGCTCTGTTTCTTTATCTGTAAACTAAAAATGGCAATTCCCCTTCTGTCTCCCTCAGAGAAAACACATGAAAACGTGTAACAAAGTGTTTTACAATCTGCAAAGAACCCCGTTAACAGTAAAAGCTACAAGTTGCACTTATAAGTAATCTCCAAAGTCTACAAAGTAGACACTGTTATTCTCAGTTTAGAAACAAGCAAAATGAGATACAGTGTTGGTTAAGTCAGCCCGAGGTCATAAAGCTTCTAAGAGGTGATAACAAAGCATGAACGTGGGCAGTGCAGCCTGAGTCTGTGCTCTGCACCCCTCTGCTTGAGTCCCACATGGATGGGACTTCTATTCATACTGGACTCAAGGCAGAGGGTGAGAAGTGAGGGCCCACGAGCATTCCCACTGAGTGACTTCCCACAACTTACCTTCTGGATAATCTCGGGGGTCATTCCCACCAGCTCACCCAAATCCATCGGCTCGCCTGCACCCTGAAGACAAGAAAGTTAAAGGTTAGGGAGGCACAGAAAGCCAAAGACATGTGCAGAAGAACCATGTGCAACACCACACACAGGGTCTGTGGATTGGGGTGGGGGGGGCATACTCACCGCAACACTTGGCTGTGAGCTTGGCACGGCCTGCGGCACGATGAGACCAGCCTGTGGTTTCAGGGTGGCCAGAGCTGCGAGAGAAGAATACGTTAGAAATGGGGTATTACAAAGCAGGACCAGCCCAGAGTGGGGGATGGTGGGGCCGAGGCTGCACCTTCTCGGGCAGCTGTAACTTCCTTGGTGAGACGGGCAATGACACGGCAGGCAGCATCATGCTGGTACAGAGCATGGGACAGCTCTTGGCGGGTCGTCTGCAGCTGCTGGCGCAGAGTGAAGCTGTGCAGCATGACTGCATCCTGGGGAAGGGAAACGCCACTGTGAGGGGGTGGGGAGGAGCAGGAAGCACCCAACAGAAGAGGCAGCCCTTGATCAAGAGGACACTGCCCCGTATTCCCATAGCCTGTACCAGTACAAGTAACTCAAGCGATAAATGAGGGACCAGGAACGTGCTGGCAGCCACTCTGGAGCTGCTACCCCACACCAAATACTGGGCACAGAGAGGAGTGGGAGCCCGCTCTTTCGCACCCCCATCTCCTCTAATTTACTGGCAAATCTCAACGTCATGCCGTCACCTCCCCACAAGGGAAGAATGCTGCTGCTGCTGCCATTTATGGACTGCCCTCATTGTGTCAGGTACTGTGCAAGACAGTCGCTCAAGATGTATTCACTCATCCAACTTTTAGAGAGCCTATTACATACAGTGCAGCTCTTGGCGTTGGGGATATACTGATGAATAAAACAAATCCCTGATGTCACAAGGTTTATACTCTAACCTTATTCTAACTCTCCCCAAAACCCTGAGAGATTGGCACAAATCCTTGTCCTATAGTCAGGAAAACCAGGACTCACATATGAGCAATTTGCCCAAGGTCATATGGCAAATGAGCAAGGGAGCTAAGTGTGGAACCCAGATCTGTGTGAGCTCAACAACCAGGCTCCTCCTCCACTATCATCCTGCGCCTCACAAAAAACCTCCATCTTTCCCAACCCAAGTCTTAGAGCAGTGGTCCCCTCTCTTCAAGCAGAGACATCAGTTCTCTTCCACGGACTCACCCACTCATCCTGCAAGGCTTTCAGAATGGCTGGGATGCTGGTAGCAGAGGGAGGCTTGGGTCGGATTGGGTGAGCAACTGCCAAGAGAGGGAAAGCGGGTATGAAGAACCATAACCCGGGGACTCTTCCTCTCCCCGACCTCTTTCCTCTTTAGCCTGCATTAACAGAACACCATCTCCTCCTCCAGTGCGCTGGCACCACCTCCCAACTTCTCAAGCTCTGAGCTAAAACAGCCCTGGACAGAGGCCAGCCACCAGGCACCTTTGATGTCAATGAGCTGCTCCTCGGACAGAGGCTGGTTGTTGATGGGGTCTGTACCATTCTCTGCAATATACTTCTCAATGAGCCGCCGCTCATAAACATGATTGGAGACAGGGGACACGCACGGGTGCTCTGGCACTTCATTGGAGACTGTGGAGAAAAGGCAGGCAGTGAGCTTGGAGTGGTGAAAGGGACCCTGGGACAAAGGGATGCCTCACAGGCAACTGGCCCCAACAAAACCACACGTCCCCACATTCAACTAACAGAAAGCAGGACATGACACTAGTTTTGTAGTGTCCCCAGCATCTTTTCAGCTACATAACTAGCTTCTCCATCACTCTCCTGACAGGTAGTCAACCAACAATTACTGCATGACTACTATGTGCCACGTACCTATAGAGCAGTCAATAATCCCCGCCCATCTCCGTCTGGAACAAAGATACCCAGGCACCCATTATACTCCAGGACACAGGAATACACATGGCCACTCAAATCTCAGTCTAAAGCCAAGATGGATTATCAAAGAAATTACAAATGTTACATTAAGAAGAAACACTTACATGGCATTCATCAGGTGCCAAGCATGATTGTAAACACTTTCCACAGACTGACTCATCCTCACAACAACCCCCAGCAGAGGTATCATTGACATGCCTGCCTCAGTAGACTATGCACCCTTCAGGACAGGGATTACAGCTGGTCTGACTTCCAGTACAATGTAGATGCCCAGCAGGCATCCAGTAAACATCTAACAAAAACATCTAAACACAATCAAATGAAACAAAGGATGGTGCTGGGAATATGGAAAAAACCTTCCTCAACGCTGAAAGAAAACAATGAATGTGAAAATACTTTGCAAACTTTAATTTCTTCACTATGAAAGATTCCTTTATCTGGCCCTCATTTCCCTTCCTTCCTCCCTCCTTTTGGAATCATGGAGAGGTTCTGAGAAGAGCACAGCGCTTCCAGTTGGAAGCAAATAGAGAAAGGGATGTTCTAGTAACCTGATGACACAGTGAGAATGGAAAACATCTGCATGCCGCATTAAAATACCAAAAGGAAAGACCGTGCAAGGCAGGGGAAAAAAAGCATGGCTCTGGGGTGGGAGAAACGACCTCCACCGCCCAGCTCCGCCACAGTCTCCTCCAGCCTTACATCGTCATCTGTAAAACGCCGATCTTCCTTTCTGCTTTGGAGAATTCTTATGAGGATAAAATGAGATCACGGACTTGGAAGCGCCGCATCAACCAAAAGCTTTATAAATGTGCGCTGTGTTTGGTAGTCGTACAGGGTGAGGCTGGGAGCCAGGGACCTGGATTCCAGCCCTGTCACTGCCTCTAACTCGCTATGTGACCTTCGCAAATTGCAGAATCTCTGACTACCCGAGCGGGACCTCAGACGTCATGCAGTGCAATGCCCTCTTTTTGCAGATGTGGAAACTGAGGCCCAGAGCCTGCGCCAGATCACAAAGCCACTCGGAAGGGAGATCCTGCACAAGCCCGATTCCTACACCACAGCTGCTTCCCTGCACCAGCTCCCTCCATCCAGGCCTCAGTTTACTGCGTAAACAAGGTGCTTGGCCTCAGTGACGTCTGCGACAATAAACTTGCGTTATGTAAACTGTGAAGCGCTGCGCAAATGCACCCCACGCCGAGGAGGAGGAGGACCCCCGCGCTGACAGGCCGCCGCCCTGCCCCCAGGGAGCCCTGTTTGCGCCTCCGCCCCGACCCCGGCGCCGCAGCGGCCCGCAGCTCCTCCCGCTCCGCGCTCCGGCCCCCTGCGACCCGCGATCGGCCGCAGCCGACACTCACTCGAGCAGATCAGGGACATGGCGCCGTCGCTGCGCTCCGAGGCGCCTCACACCGGGCTCCGGGATTCGCTTCTGCGCCCCCCCCCGGGCCGCTTCCGGTTCCCCGCTGCTTCCGGGACGCTCCGCGGCTAGCCGGGAGCGACCCCGCCGAGCGATGCTCGTGGAGCGCTTCACGTGGGGCTGCGGCCGGTCGCGCGCCTCAGCCTCCAGCACCTAACGGAAACTGCCCTTTCCCAGAATGCAACCGGGCAGGAAAGGGCCCGCCAGGGAACCTTCGGCCATTTCCGGACCGACTCGGCGCCTTCCGTAAAGCGCTCCCGGGGACAGGGGCCGAGGAGGTCCCACACTACATTTCCCACAATGCAGTGGGATTTTTAAAGCCAATGTATTGAGCAACACTTTCTTGAGAGCGTCGTCTTACAAACTTTGGAGTGTATAAGAATTTCCTAACGAACTTTTTAAAATACATCTTCCTGGGGTCTGCTTTAGAGAGTCTGCATTTTTCGTGTGTGCCCCACGTGATTCTGAGGCAGGTGTATCTCCGACGACGCTTTGAGAGACAGGGCTAGGTGACCGCGAAGAAAGCGCAGATGCAGATGGGTGGAGACACTAGCACTGAGGAAAAAACTGTTCTGGTTCTGCCTCTACTACCAATTTGCGCTGTGATCGTGGGCAAGTCATCACCTTTCCCCCCTTTCCTACATGACTTCCAGGCCCCTTCCAGCTCAGATCTGTCGCGTTCTAAGTGGCTATCTATAAGAGGCTCTAAGGAATCATGTACAGAACACGTGGTGTGGGCTATAAGGGATCCAGAAAAAGCAGGACAGACAAGTGTGATCAGTGAAGTCTTCGTGGCTGAAGAGGGGTGAATGAGCTGGATTTTGACAGGTAGGCAATATTCAGATAGAAGGGGAGAACAGAAGGCATCCCAAGAAGAAGAAGAGTATGAGCAAAGGCTTGGAGAGAGGAATAAAATTTACAGGTATGAGGGGCAGTATGGCATAGTAGCCAAGAGCAGCCTGAAGTCTGAAGTCAGATTGCGGGTGCTCTAATCCCAGCCCAGCCAGCTAGTAAACTGTGTGAACTTCTCTGCCTTAATTTCTTCATCTGTAAAATAGGGGGAATGATAACAAAGGTTGAACTAGCTCATAGGGTTGTTGTGAGTAGTTAATATTTAAAAAGTGCTTTGGGGGGCGCTGGAGTGGCTCAGTCAGTTAAGCGTCCTTCTCTTGATCTCACCTCAGGTCTTGATCTCAGGGTTGTGAGTTCAAGCCCCGCTTCTAGCCTACTTAAAAATAAATTAAATAAATAAAAAGTGCTTTGGACTTTGCCTGGCACATAGCCAGTATGATATACATATTCAGATTTGTTATCATTATCCCTGAATCCAAGCAAGATTGTCCAAACTACTATTGTGTCTCCCCTGCAGCAGTAAAATAGCATCCTAATTGGTCTTGCTTCCAGCCTAGCCTTCTAATTCACTTTTTACAGAATAGCCAGTAATCCACTTTCCATGAAAAATCTATTCCTGCTACTCCCCAGCCTTTCCATACATCCAACAAATATTGATTGGGTGCCTCCTAAGAGCCAGACTCCACTCTGATAACTGGAAATACAAATGGTGAACAAGGTTTCTGCTCTCTTGGAGCTTACATTCTTTTCTTTTTTTTTTTCTTTTTTTTTTGGAGCGGGGGAGGGTGGCGGGGTGGCAGAGACAATCAATACATCAGAAGAAAATTCCAGAGTGGTAAGTGCTAAGAATAAAACAAATCAGAGAAAGATGGATAGGAGGTGGTGTGGCTGGGAGAGATGGGTTACTTTAAGCAAGATATTCAGGGAGGGCATCTCTGAGGAGGTGACATTTTTGTTGAGACCTGAATGAGGGAGAGTGTTTCTGGCAGAGAAAACTTGCCCCCAAGTCCTGCACCATCTAGCCCCTACTGACCTCCACCATCACACCTCCTCTTCCCTGCAGCCACACTGGCCTTTCAAATCCTCAAACTTAGCCCCTCTGGCTGGTTCCACTACTTGTGCCTGGCTCGCCTTCCTCCCCTCTCCTCCCCTCCTATTCCCACCAAAGTAAACTTTCAATCTCATCTTAAATGGCACTTCCTCTGGGGCCTTTTTCTTGACCCCTGACTGAAGTTTAGACCCCAAAGCACCCTGTAATTCTCCTTCAAGCCATTCTGGTAGCTATAATCATTTGATTATTTAATTGCTTCCAAGTGTCTGTTTGATATCTGTGTTCTCCACTAGACTTAAACTCTGTGACATCAGGAACCAGGACCATTGTTCTGGTCACTGTTGTTCCTCAGAGTCTAACACAGCACCTGACACATAGTGGGAACTTCATAACTGTTGTTGCTTGAATGACAGGCTGCCTGACACCAAGTATCTTGAATATTTGGATTGATAGGGAATGAAATGGATGCATTTAGTCAGGGCCTTGAACCAGAGGCTAATTAGACTTGATTGGGCTGGCAGCAGAACAGCAGCTGAGCCGTGGAGTGATAGCTACACTTCCAAAAGATTCCTCTGGAACATACTTACTGGATAAGTTGAAGGAGAACAGACTGGAAGAAGAGAGCCAGAAATTCATTTGTTGAACAAATCCTTATTGAGTACCCACTGTGTGCCAGTCAAGCACTATCCTGGGCATTAGGGATACCACTGTGAGCAAAAGCAGAGGTGTCCCTATCCTGGGGAGCTTAGGGCTGTGACTGAAGAATGGAGAAAACAGGCAGTCCTTTCAAGGCTTGTGAATTTCAAAAGCCAGCCCCTCAGGGATAGAAAGGATATAGGGTTAATAATAGGAGTAAATATTACAGGTAAGAACTTGATCTCAGAGTCCTCCCCACTCCCCCCAATCTCAAACTTTCACAGGGGAGCTAAAGATCCCCTAGGCAGGGAAGGAAGACATAGTAAAAAAGGGTATATGCGTAGCTGTAAGTAGCACCTTGAGGAAGGAGCTCTCTGCCTTGCTCCCTTGGCCAAGGCTGCTGCTACTCGGGAACTAAGGGGACATGTTGGCCAGTAACCCAGAAGAAGCTCCATTTCTCAGGTGAATTTAGTGGCAACCTGTGTGGGCAACTGATGGAAGAGTAGGCAAGACAATGCAGCTCAACTGACAGGATTAGTGACACTTCGGCCCCATGTTAATTTTCCAAACACTGTGTACACTCTGAAAACCAAGGTGGGAAGAACCCCCAACTGAGACTGTTTCTACTACTCAGATGGAAAAGAGCTGAAAAGAAACTGACTTGTCATAGCAGGGGTGGGAGTGGGGAGTTACATTTCTTGCACAGGAATCTGTGACCTGAGATTGGTAGTCCTACACATCAGAAACCTCTCACAAACAAATGTAAATTTGTAACTGTTAGAAAAGCTGCAAGGTGAGGCCCAGGATGCTACCAGAGCCTGTCTGGAAGAAAGAGAACCTTAGCTTAGGAAGATGGATGCGGCTGAGAAACATCTCAAGGAAAGAAACAACTGGAGGAGGTGACAGGCTGGTTACTGCTGAGTTGTGTAGTCTGGGAAGAAGGCACAATTAGAAGGCTGATCCAGGGAGGGTGGAAAAAAAAGAGTTCTGTTTTAGAATGTTGAGCTTCAGGAACTGTTTTAACATCTAAGGGGGAGATTTCCTAAGGCAGCCAATGTGAGAAAGGTATTCAGACAGCAACTCGGATTTTTTTTTTTTTTTTTAACGTTCACTCTCGTAACTTGATTGAATCTCCACACCCTACTGTGAAGTGAAGTGATATTTTTAGGACTGTATAGGAAAGTCGAAAAGCTGAGGTCAAGAGGGATGAAGCAACGTGCCTAGAATCACAAAGCAGACAAGGGATCGCCTCATCCCAAACCCCTGGTTGTTCGCCTTCACAATCTTGCCTTTTTTTTTTTTTTTTTTTTTTTTTTTTTTTTTTTGTAGAAATGGGGTCTGGAAGTTGGTTCCTTTCCTTCTCTAAAATTGAGTGAACAGTTGGGAGCCATCTGCAGGGTTCCGGGTGTGTAACTGCTCTCGGAGGGGGCGGATGCAACTTCCAAGCGCTGGCACCTTTTCCTGCTCCTCTAACACCTTTTTCCTTTGTGCCTTTTTAGCGCGAAAGTTCCTCAAAAGACCAGGTGCCTCTTGATTAGAACTACATTTCCCACAAGGCCCAAGGAAGCACTGACTAGCCCGAAACTACATTGCCCGGAATGCTGAAGTATTGAAGAGAGGGATAGGCTTTGACTCCGAATTTCAAAGATCAGTTTATTTACTTCACAGCCCAGATACAGTCACTCCTTTCCCCTTTCCTGCCAGAAACTTCCGTTCCCAGCTCAAACTTCCGATCCCACTCTTTTTCGGTGGGAAGGCTTGGTTGGGAAAGGGGGGATGGGGTGGCAACCGTGATCAAGAGGGGCGCATGCGCCCACGGCTCAGGATTTGGGCTGGGAGGGGGACTGGTCGGTCCCCAGGCTCATCCCGCCTTGCGCGTGCGCAGACGATAAACCAACGCCCCGGAGTTGATGCGCGGGTTTGGTGGCGCGTTTTAGCGAAGTCGCACGTGAAGGGTGGTAGTGGCCGGAGCCGGGTGAGTACCAGTGGAGACCGGGGCCCAGGAGCAGAACGCGGGACGGGCAGGCGGCAGCCGCTGCAGGTGGGAGCGGGGTGGGGCCTCGAGGCCTGGCGAACACGCGTGGGGAGGGGTCCGACGGCGCCCGGCGAGGGAAACAAACTGGGGACCCGGATCCTGGTTGCTATGCAACAGGGGGCGTCGTTACTAGGTAACAGGGATGCACGCGTTTCCGGGGTGAAGAGGGTTCGGAGCTCTGCTCAGAGGTCCGGCTGAGGCGGGGCGGCTGCCAGGCTGGGGTACGAGGCTAGCGCTGAGCCCCCTCGACCCCGCCTCACGGCCCAGCTTCCCGCGGCCTTGCTTTGAGCCCCTCGGGGTACCCCGAGCCCCTTGGGGTATCCCGAGCCCATGGGCCGCGCCGCATCCCTTGCCAGCGACGCCACCCAGCAAGGCTTGGCAGGGGACTTGCTGTTTGAAATAGCACATGCCACTGACACCCTGTCTGGGGGAGGCTGGGCCCTGGGGAGGAAGCTGCCCCTTTGCCCGTCGCCCTGCCCCCAAACAGTTGCTGGGCAGCAGCTGTCAGGGGTTTACAGGGGCTGCCCCCACCTGCCGGGACGCTGACTTCATTTTCCTCACTGGCAGC